CACCGTGCTGCCGCGGTTCTGCCCGGGCTCCGTCAGCCTCCAGCTCCCTGTGTGGGCTCTGCTTTCCCATCTGGAGGTGCTGGCACCACCACGGGCCACTGGGAGGAGCTGGGGTGTCGAGTGTGGACATGAGGGTCTAAGACCAGTTTCCTACTTCACGTTCAAATTCCCTGTCCTCAATTGGGCCAGTCTCCACCCTGTTAACTTCTGTAAAATTACTGTCCTGTGCACCTCCTCCAGGTGGGAAGGAGGGTGAATAGCAGGGCCCTGTACACCGAAGGTTCTGTTTTTCTTGGGAACATTCCCGGAGGAAATTTGCCAGTTTCCCAGAAATGAAGGATTATCTATTGGGCAGAAGACTGTCCAGTGGCAGAGCTGCCATCAGAAGTGTGAGCTGGGACTCAGCAGGTGGGCCTCTGGTCTGACCCTGCGTCGTCACTTTAGGCTCACCGCACACTTTCACTCCCACCCGATCCCTGAGGCACCCAGTGAGGTCGCGGTCCTGGCCCTGGTACACAGGGAGGAAGTGGGCTTCCACGTGGCCTGTGAGGGTTGTCCTGGCAATTAGTTCTACTTTAATTTTTTCACAAGACAGTCTCAGCACCCACTAAGGACTATCGTTCAGCCAAGAGGATGTCCCCCACCCCTGCCGCTTCCTCAGTCTTGTCCTGTGGCTGCACTGTTCCTGTCGGACCCGCCAGGGGCACAGCCCCTCTGCACAGCGTACCATGCTGGAGGGTGTTCCCACAGTCCTCACAGACGGGTCCTGTAGCCCCTTCCACACGAGCTGGGAAAGGTTGGCTCTTCGTAAACCTAATTCTCATCTAAACGTAATGACCACACGGAACAGTGATGCTCGAGCAGGTTAGACGCAGCCTCTGTTTCCTTTCCTATGAGCCTTTGGTGCAACGGCCATTACGACAGACACACAGACATGCACATTTCAGAGTCCAGGCCTGGCCCCGTCCCTGTGGCTAGTACTGCTATTCCTATCACTTGTTGTGCTATATAATAAAAGCCTAATACGCAAATCGACGGAACAGTGGGACGACCGGTCGCTATGACGCGCACTGACCACCAGGGGCAGATGCCCAAAGCAGGATCTGCCCCAGCCCTCAGGCCCCAGGCCAGCCAAGGTGGGTGCCAGCGGGGGCCCCCGATCACCTGCTGGTCACCCCACAGATTGGCCCTAATCACCAGCCAGGCCTCGGGACCCTACCCGTGCATGAATTTCGTGCATTGGGCCTCTAGTTTTTATGTAATGTTTCTGTCTACCAGCCACTCTGTCTTCGTTAGTTCTGGCTGCTCTAACAGAATTCCATAGACAGGTGGCTTCAACATCAGAAATGCATTTCTCACAGTCCTAGAGGCTGGGCCTCCAGGACCCGGGGACCAGCGTGGCTGGTTCCTGCGAGGATCCTGTCCTGGTTTTCAGACAGCCATGTCCTCGCTGTGTTTTCCCAGGGCACAGAGCGAGAGGCCAGCTCTCTGCCTCCTCCTGGAGGTGCTAACCCATCCTGTCCTGCAGCCCTGTGACCGAGGAGTCTCCCCCCAACAACCGCCCTCCCCGCCCCCTCACCAGAAGCAGCTGGTGACTGCCCTCCTCTTTCCTCCCTCCCCTTCCTCCCACCTCTAGTCCTGGGGAGCAGCCTCCTGGGCGTGCAGAGAAGTCGTTATGTTACAGTGTGGGCCTGGTCCACGCGGCACCACGGCTTCATCGACACCATCTACTGTCAGAGGGCTTTGCGAGGCCCATCCCCAGCG